AAACGGCTGCATTCTGCTAACTTTCAGTTTTTTACGCCTAACGCGGAAATCTATTTTTCTCGTGTTTCTAAATTCCCGAGGAACCTGTGAAGTGCTCTCACATTGATTTCAAAATATAATTCATATGCTAAATTGTCACAGTACTGTCAAGTATGGCAAACTATAGCATTCTAGTAAACTATTTTCTCATCGTCTAGTAATTATAAATCAGTTTTTAAGGCTGTTGGATGCTCTGCATAACAAGGGACTTTTCATACAGTTGTTTATACATGTCAAGTATTTCAATGTTTGTTGTATACTGTGTACCACTTATAGAAATAAAGTTGTTTGGTTTATTTTTTTCCCTATATTTTCTCGCTCATCTGGGATTCGATAATGGTCCAGGAGGGACCGAAACGTCGTCTAAGGTTTTCTTTCTAAAGTGTAGGTTTATGTTCATTGTTCCAGCCAGAGTATTCTGACGTTTTTCTTTACTGTTTGAGTTTAAGTTTACAATGCATTCATAACAAGAAGTTACTCCTCTGCTACTTTTTTTTTCAAGGAGGATGACCTCCAGCTCCTGGTGTCGCTGCTTATTGGAACAGCTGTGTATAGGATGGAAAGGTTTAACTTCAGTTGTGTTTGGAATGAGAGAGTTCCAGCTCTGAGCTTGACATTAGTTTCTTTACTGGCATCTAAGGGTTGAACTCCAGCTCCCGTCCCTGCTATTAGTCATTTTTAAGAGGGTGATCACCAGTTCTAAGGGCTTGTTGTGGGTGCTGAACTGGACACTAAAAGTCAAGAATAAATTAATCCTTATAATAGGGATTTAAATAAATGTTCAGTATGCATAGATATACTGTACTATACTTGACGTATATACCCTGCTCATCAGCCCCTGAAAGTTTGGTATATTCATTAGAAAGGGGAAACGTTAAACCTGTAAGGGTCACCCAGAGCCTTGGAGAATGGGAGGCATTCAGATTCGATCAAAGGGGAGAACGGTTCCAGTTCCTCAGATCAAGAACCCCTCATGGGCATCGAGGAACCTCTCTTTGGGGCAGTCCCTGAGGAGAAGAACCTGCCGTAAGTTCGATCCCGGAACCACTAAAATGTGAAATTTCAGAAGGAAGAAACGTTTAAGAAGTTATAAATTCCAATTATTTTATTTTAACTCTACTAAAGCGCTAAGTTCGTGTGGATCATTCAGCGCAAGGAGTGGAGACTCGAGCCTCTGTCCTCTAATCGTGAAACCGACAGGATGCTGAACTGTACTCACCTGCCAAAAGCTGTGAATTCCTAATTCAGGATTCGGCAAGTTGATCAGATAATGGAATTCCCTACCAATGTCTCTCGTGGCTGTTAATCCTCGTCTGTGGAATCAAAACTCACTTTTGGTTCTATCTTGGGATATACTTCCTCCTGTCAGTCTACCTTAGTCGCCCTTGATTAACTTTGGTCCATTTCGAAATACTGAATCGAGCTGACATGCAGGAAAGTTGTGAACTTCACGCAATTTCTTGCATTTTCAATGTATAACATAACTACGCCTCACAACGATGTTGCAATGAGTATTTGCAGCCTAATGGATAAAATATTAATAACGCCGCCTGAAGACATAACATGACAATAAAAATTTCCCTAACTTCTCGGACATTTTATTATGCATAATATACAAATTAACTATGATCAATTTCTCTAGTATTAAGTAGTCTGTAAGACATTAACTGTAGTCTGCCCAAAATGCCATGGCATGATAGTGATTCCTTGTACTGCAACTCATTATTGTAATTACATAATCTCAATATAAACTCGCAAGGAAATAAAAATTTGTATTTGTTGACGAATGTACTAAAGACAGACAGAGCTCTACTTATTTGTATCTCATAGGATAAATTAAAAACAAATGATTACTCTCCAGTGTTTCATTTGCCTTGTGTAGCATATTGTCGACAAAAATCATTAAACACCAATGAATCGATTGCTTTCCTACGGAGAGCAAAGAGTTATACACTATGCCACTTATTTTTGGTTTCAAAGTTCTCGGGCCGTGCCAACAATCACAATGAGGCTCTTCTCTTCCTTTACCCACGGCCGCTGGTCCATTATAGTGTCGCCGTTAGTCGAAAATATTGGGTGGCTGCTCTGGGATAATAGAGTCTAAAAGAAACAGTTAGGGGGCTCTAAGGATTTGAATGGCGTATTGCCATTCGCATTTGGGTAGAGATTCGTCAACTCACGACTTTATAAAGCTCTACACAGAGCAAAAGGTTAGATAACTTTCCATTAGCAAGTTAGGAAGTAATGGAAGGCAGAAGACAACACTGACTCATTTAGGCTCGACCAGGTGGTGCAGGATGTCAGTCCCTCACATTACATCACAGGCTAACCCAACTGAGGGCTCGATCCTCCTTCACTTATTGCCAGACACATTACCCAGCTGACCTAACTCTTACGGAAGGTTATGCTTTGATGCTTGTGAAACACTCCGATCCAAGGAACTGGAGCTACCATCCCGTTCCTGGAATAATCCTTAGTACATGCCATTCCCAAGACAATAAGATGCCCATAAGTTTAGCACTTCCCCACGGAAATAACGAAGAGCATCGAAGGCGTGATTTAAACGTTCTTATGTATGTGAAAAAATACGCAGTGAAAACAGGAAATAAAACCTGAACGCTTCGTGTTTTTTTTTTCATATTTGCAATCACGCGTTTTATTGTGATTTCTTCCAGATGATTGATTAAAAAATAAAACCTCTAGGGAATATACATTTTGATGAATATATCAAAAGTACGTTTTCTATAATGAAAAATAAAATATATATTTTTTAAAGCGAATATATTGATGACAAACTATGTCCTGCAAACTGCAAGAACTGTTGTAAAAAGAGGATAAAATATATCGAAATTACTAAAATATAATCTGAAATGTTATGAAATGTAATCAAGTAATTATCTCATTCTTGCCTGCTCTCTGGGCTTCATTTCGAGGGAAAAACGAAAAAAATATATATTATATCGAATGAAAAAAATATTTCGCAATATTTTCGCTTTTTTTTTTTTACTTTTTTTTTTAAATAGCACTTTCAGATTTTTTTTATTTGGTGGAAAACGTATCAGCAGAGTTTTTTTTATTATATTATAGCTCTATTTTTTTCGTTTGGTCTATAAAAGCCACTTTGGATATATGAGAATTATCTACTATCGAATTTACAGATTTTTTAACTTTGGTTAAAAGAGTAACTTTATGTATTAGAGAAAAGTAAAGTCTGTTTAGGTAGAGTTGAGTGAGAGACCGAGAAAAAGTGAGACAGACAGACAGAGAAATAGAGGGAGAGACAGAAAGAGACAGAGAGAACAGAAAGAGAGAGAAAGACAGAGAGAGGGTAAGACAGAGAGAACAGAGGCAGAGAGACAGAACAGAAAGAGAAACAGAGAGAACAGAAAGAGAAACAGAGAGAACAGAAAGAGAGAGAAACAGAGAGAAGAAAAAAAGACAGTGAGAACATAGAGAGAAAGACAGAGAGAACAGAAAGAGAGAGAAACAGAGAGAAGAAAAAAAGACAGTGAGAACAGAGAGAGAAAGACAGAACAGAAAGAGAGAAATAGAGAGAACATATAGAAAGACAGAGAGAAAGCCAGAGAACAAATAGAGAGAAAGCGAGAGAAAGGGGTGTTAAAATCTAGCATCATCTTGCTACCACAACTTCTATAATATACACGCTGGCTGGTCCTCCCAGCCAGGGCAGGTACAAGTACATGTGTTATAAACGCAGTAAACACATTTGTCTATGTTCATGAGTACCCGTGACAGTACTTGAATACTTTCTTCCACACACTTTTCTCTGTCCATTTTACCAAGTGAGGCGTAACATCAATATCTGGATGAACGGACACCGGTGTACACACAGGACATTATCCTTTTTACACTAGTGTTCTTACACCCATCTAACACTTGCACTTAGGAGAGGTGAATCTTATGACCTTCTCTACTTTTCTCGCCTCAGTTGTGACTTGACAATTGTCCAGGACGGACCGAAACGTCGCCATAGGGTCCCTTTCTAATTTTTTTTTTTTGTGGGCAAATTGCTCCAGTCACGGTATTTTGACTTCCTACCCCCTCCATTCATTCTGTTGCTGCCTGAAATGAGCGCCTTATTATATGGAGATTTACTATTAAATAAACCCAGACAACAGCAAATATGCCGTTTACCACCGTAATCAAATTAGGTGATGGTTTTTCCTTAAAAAATAACTTCTAAAAAAAAAAAAAAAAAATGCCATCACGGACACTAGACTTACACTAAATCTCTGTGATATCTTGAGATTGGGTCTCCAAAATCTTTGTGAAAATACGAGTGCACTGTGATTTCAATTCCCGTTTGTGAATAGGAGTCTTAGATTGATAATTCACCATATAATCTAAATGTTACAGTCATAGAAGCTAGAATGCCCTCTAGGAACAATGGAGTGAGGATTAACACCTCCAGATACTAAAACAAACGATACTGGACACAGTCATCACATTTGTAATAGTCGTAAACACCGTTCAAACCAGTTTAATGGTTGTACCCTTGCCTGTGGTCACTGGCGTCTGGGAAATCACTTCTCAAGTGAATATCCCAGTAAAACGATACAAATAACCGTAAACAGACAAAGTGATAAAAGGTGGATAATGAGAGAGATGATCAAGTCGACGGAGACAGGTATATGAAGAAGAGAAATGATAACCAATGTAGAATAAATATTGTTATCTTGTCCAAGAGTTTCGTTACATTTGTAGATGACTGTACGGATCTGATAAATGATTAATTCACAACTAATTAGGAAGCGTGCTTGTCCAACGATTACAGGTCGGAGGATCGAGCCTCCAACACTTTTTGTGTTGAATTACCCACACAGGTTTATTACTACACATGAAGTACGGTAATACATAATATTAATAATAACATTAATAATAATACTGTTTAAACGACACCATTTCATTCACACAAACATGTGTAATGAGCCAGAACTTACCTTATGCTGCAGCAACTGCAGTATTATCGACCATAAATGCTATGGTTACTGCTGTTAAGGGAACCATACCAAACATACCGCACACCACATTCTACACTGACAACTACTACCCCACAACTGGGAACGTTTTGAACCATTATCAAAGTTCGAAACATCTGAAGTTTCCCGACGAAACTGTGGACTCGTAGTGAATAATTTAACCCACGGTATTGCAGCTTATATATTAATTTATAATCAGTTTTTTTCACTGTTGCTAAGGCAGTTTGATTGGTGACTGTTTACGAGCCTTCAGCAGTGAGTATCAACTTATTTTAATGCCTTCAGAGGCCATTTTACAAAATGTGTGGTATGTTATGACTGGAAAAATTGTATCAATAGCAAACTATGGTAAACAAATGGAACTGAGGCTGATAGGTTGTTTGATTAATTGAGTTTAAAGCCTATTAACTACACTAGGCTCATTAAGGCAGTTCATATTCTTTAAACCACCAGAAAAGAATAAATGTATCCCGAAAATAGGGATAAAGATATGCATAATGTTTGTCAGGAAACAGGACAAGTGTTTCCTGACGCGGGTCTTAGTCACATAATGACCCTAACCTAACCTAACCTATCTTTTATTTCAAATAAAAAAAATTAATGATGAATAAAACACAATTGCAACACTTGGATATTTTTATTTTTGAAACGTTTCGCCTACACAGCAGGCTTCTTCAGTCGAATACAGAGGCGACTAAGCTTGAGACAACAGAAACAATGATGTGATCACTCCACCAACCATGTCGGTACTGTAAGAGTTTTTTCTTTACACTGATTAGTTTTACTAGTTAAGAGTTATTATCCTCCCTCAGTCCATTTCAAAGCTCAGCCCTATGTAAGGTATACTACCCCCCCCCCAGGATGCCACCCACACCAGTTGATCAACATCCAGGTGTATTACTTACCTACATATCCACCCATGCTGGGGATCGGACCACGGTCACTCAGCATGTGAGTTGAGTGCGCTACCAACTGAGTCACGGGACTTGTATGTGGATTAGAGGACATCTTTATTTGATATGTTTCTGTCCTGGGACCTTGGTCTCTTCGTGGTCTCTGGACCAAAACGTATCTGATAGAGATGTCCTTTCATCCATATTATATCGTCAGTATCAACATGCTTTCTACCTTCATTTGTCTATATGTTTGATCTCCATCTGAGGTCTTCGTTAGAGGATACAATAGAGTGAAGATCATAATGATACAGGAGCGGAGAAGAGTCCAGTCACATTTGGTATGGTGTCACCATTAGTGCATCAGCTGTAAGTTAGGTCTATCGCTAGGTACGACAGTAGGTGAAGACGTAGATGGAGAAGTTGCGGGAGTCTAAACATTCGATTGAACCTAATCACTCGCAGGAACCTATGCCCACCGGGAACCTAAACAGCAGTGGGGGCCATAGCACTCACTGGAACTTCAACATTCGCCGAAACTTCAACACTTACGGGAACTTCAGCACTTTTAGGAGCGTCAACAGTGGCGAGAACTTGAACTTCAGATCAAACATTCATTTTTAATTTTCCATGTTCTTGAGAGCTCTGCTTATTTACATCACAGAGTTCACATACGAGGAAATTAAATGATAATTAACTGAAACAGCTTTTAACATAAAATAACCAAAACTCTTTGTTGACAAATGTATAGCTATTGCTGAGAATAAATTCGACCATCCAGAAGATGAAACACACACAAAATATGTTGGTAGTAACATGAGTCCTAGGTAGTAGGTTGGTAGACAGCAACCATCCAGGGAGGTACTACCGTCCTGCCAAGTGAGTGTAGGATTGCTGGTGTCTTTTTTTCTGTCTCTTAAATATGCAAGATTTCAGGTACGTCTTTCTACTTCTACTTACACTTAGGTCACACTACACATACATGTACAAGCATATATATACACACCTCTCTGGGTTTTCTTCTATTTTCTCTCTAGTTCTTGTTCTTGTTTATTTCCTCTTATCTCCATGGGGAAGTGGAACAGAATTCTTCCTCCGTAAGCCATGCGTGTTGTAAGAGGCGACTAAAATGCCGGGAGTAAGGGGCTAGTAACCTCTTCTCTTGTATAATTTACTAAATTTAAAATTAGAAACTTTCGTTTTTTATTTTGGGCCACCCTGCCTCGGTGGGATAGTTTTCTTACGTTGAAAGAAGAAAAGATGTAACATGAGTAAACTTCCATGAAAATATTCTACGCTGAATTATTACTTTGAGTCTAAGTTTAAAAATCTAGATGCCCCAAATTTTTCTGGTTACGGATTTCTTAGATGGTTCAATCTGTTTCATTCCTTGTAGAAAATATGACTTTTATATAGAACTAACCGGTGAAAGTATAAATCTTATACTAAAACAGGGCGAAACGTCGACACACCGAAAGCTTCTTCTCCAACGTAAGCTTGATATTTTGTGAAGAATAAAAATGTCACAACAATACTTTGGCAGTCTTTCAAGGATATACAAGGATCTTGTAGTGAAATCAGAGCTGTTGACTAACAGAAACATTGATGGACGGACCAGGCGCTGGGTTGAGACTAGTTACAGTGCCGTTCAAGGAGAGGATAATGAGAATAAAGAGTCTTGATCACCAGTTGTCCGGGTCACCAGTAGACTGAGGTCACTAGGGTTCGAGGTCACCAATGTTCGCGGCCACTACCACTGTTCATGGCTACCAGTGGACGAGGCCAGATCTCAAACATAAACAAGAAACAAATCATGGAAGGGGAAAATAATCTACAACAGAACTGTTGACCCATTTATGAATATCAGCAAGAAATACCGAACATGAAGAGTACGGATAGGGCTCGATACGGTGTAATCAGTCAGTGGCCCTATAACCCGCAACACGAAGAAGAAGGGTATGGACGTAACAGTGCCGTCACATCCAGGGCAGAGGGCCAGCACATAGCGCCAAGGTCATCTTTTTACTCATCATGGCACCATAATCGTCACCCACCATCACAAGGAAAACCTTCAACACTGCTGGTTTACTAGTCTTGGGTGCTTGCCACTGCCACTTATGCAAGAGACGTGTGTTTTATCCCGCCTGTGCTGGAGAACGGCCCAAGCACAGGAATGTCCACCGTAAATATACTTCGAACCATTATCACGGTCCTGTCTAAAGTGAGAATCAGCTGCATGTAATGAGGATTAGACGAATATCGTGACGTTTACATTTATGTAGCAGTGTAGTTATTTTTACCAGTCAGGCTCTAAAAACATATTTTAATGCCTGGAGATGTTGGTGTCGTTTTCAGCTGTAAATATAGACTGGAAGGCCGCGTTCAGTAGTGAAACAATATCTCTGTTGTTTGATATGGCTACTGTTAACATCATTATACCAAACGTTCGCTAACAGTAGCTTCCTTCAGTCGAATTCTAAAGGGTTGGATGAAGGAATGAAGACGAATACAGAATCAACCCGTAGGTCAAGAATTTCGGTTTCCCCATTTCGCCTGGTATTCATTTCCATTAAGGACTATCTGATAGTTTGATTATAACTAACTTCTCGGCAGGACTACACTGAAATTCTAACTTTAACGTATGACTGTTAATCTCTTCTACAGCTAGCCCTGCCTATTTCTGAATTCACTATAAAAAAAACATTGTAGGGAACGTTTAAAAAATTGCTCCTTAGTTGCATATTGTTTTTACCTAGTACCTGTGGGAGGGGTGTATGCATTTTGAGTGAAAATCGAGTGTTGTTATTGTCTAACCAAAATATTAGTCCTGTGCTTTATTGTCATGCCATACCTAAAAACGGTTTATAGTCTTGATGAAATTGCATAACAAATGGACAGGATTCACGTGGTCAGAACCCGGTTTTCTCCAAAACTGGATAAAAATTCATCAAGAGCCCATGGAAGGAGCTATTAATTAACCATATCCGCTTGATTTAGTTTATTCTGGATTAACTACTGAAATTTAATTAACCAGTATGTAGAGTATAAGTTTTTATAAGGATAACTGAACTAATTCATAAAGCAGAATTCCTATTAACAAAAAATCTACAGTAGGTGAACTTTAAAAAATTCTGGCTCCATTAGATCGTCTCATTTTTTTTTTTTTTGGTGGTGGTGGTGGGGGGTGGGTTGAGAAAGAAGTGAAAAACGAGTGTATGTCTTAATGTCACCAAAATATTTCCTGGTCATTGTTTTGTCATGCACCAGTAACTAAAACACAGGTTTATACTAGTGCTATATATATACATTATTGGTAAGGTGTGATTCAGGCTGCCTGGAACACCTCAGGTTTTCTCACTAGAAACTGGATAAAAATTCGCTGCAAGACGCCCATGGAAGGATGACATAATTAATCCCCCATATCCGAAAATATTATTTTATTAGATGTATTGAACTTGATTATCCTAGAAATACATTTTCTTGGTATTAAATATTTTTGGATACATCCGCAGTGTGCTGCTACCGTATTTTATATGACAATTATACAGTGGGTATAGCAGCCAGCTATGATAATTGGCTTTATTCCTACGAACTGTGCAAATAAACCACTATGAATTTTTTGACGGTTTTCGTAGGTAATTTACACTAAGTATGATAATTGTAATTATGTGTAACTACACATAAATAAACTTGTTTACGTATTTACTTGCCTATTTACTTAAAGTATGCCTATTTACTTAAAGTATGCCTATTTACTTAAAGTATGCCTATTTACTTAAAGTATGCCTATTTACTTAAAGTATGCCTATTTACTTAAAGTATGCCTATTTACTTAAAGTATGCCTATTTACTTAAAGTATGCCTATTTAAAATCTATTAAAGTAATGCCTATTTACTTAAAGTATGCCTATTTACTTAAAGTATGCCTATTTACTTAAAGTATGCCTATTTACTTAAAGTATGCCTATTTACTTAAAGTATGCCTATTTACTTAAAGTATGCCTATTTACTTAAAATAAAACTATAACTGCTTATAACTACTGCTACTATTTATAACTGTTACCTACTACTATTACTAATGATAATAACTACTGGTTACTGTGGTTACAAAGGGTTGGAATAGGGAGGATAGGATAAAATAAGAAGAGAGAAACTAGGAATAAAGGGAAGGTAAATACGGCGTCTCAATTGTGGATTCAAGCTGGATTGATATAGATTAAGAAAGGCTATAGGGAAGTACTGACTTACTAATGAACTTAGTGAGGAGGGGAAGACAGTGCCAAGAACAGTCACTGAAGTCAGCACTTTGAGCGGATCTAAAATTGGGTTAGGCCTATTACAGTGCTTCTGTGGTGTGTTGGTATTGTAGTGGTGGTGGTGGTGGTGTGTGGGTGGTGGTGGTGGTGGTGGTGGTGTGAGGTAGTGGTGGTTGGGGGGTGTGTGGTGGTGTGGTGGTGGTGGTGGTGGTGGTGTGTGTAGGAGAGTGGTGGTGGTGGTGGTTGTAGTATGATGGTTGTGAAGGTTGGGTGGAGTATGTTGGATAATGTGGTGGTGAAGTAGAGGTGAGTGGTGATATGGCATGTGGTGGTGGTGGGGTTAGATAGTTTTGAATATTGGCAAGTAGTTGTGTGGTAGTGTTGATGTGTGGTGGTGAAGGGGTAGAAGGTGTGGTGGTGGTGCATGGTGATGGTGGTAGGGGTTGTAGCTGGTGGTGTGATTAGGTGGTAGTGGTGTGTGTAGGTGGTGATGCTGGTAGTGAGTTGTTGTGGGTGGTGATGTGTAGTGGTTTTGTGGTGTGATGAGTGGTAGTGGGTTGTGATGGTGGTAGTGGGTTGTGTGGGTGGTGATGGTGGTAGTGGGTTTGGTGCTGAAGTGGTGGGTATGATGGTGGTAGTGGGTTGTGTGGGTGGTGATGGTGGTAGAGGGTTGTGTGGTGGTGATGGTGGTAGTGGGTTGTGTGGGTGGCGATGGTGGTAGAGGGTTGTGTGGGTGGTGATGGTGGTAGAGGGTTGTGTGGGTGGTGATGGTGCTAGAGGGTTGTGTGGGTGGTGATGGTGGTAGAAGGGTAGTGGCTACCATGGAATGGAAAAATAGGGAGGGGAGCTAATTCCCCCTCCCACCCAGAAGGCGTGGGTGGCCCACCAGCATACTTTCCAACCTTGCCTCCTCTCCCACCCCCACCATTCCTCTCCACCAACCCCCTCCTTCCCTTCCTTCCCCTCTCCCCTTCCCCCCAACATCAACCACCACCCCGGCTTGCTTCCACCACTCCTAATTCGGAGCACAGGATTAGTAACATGTATGGCCTCCCCCACCACACAACCACCCCCACCCACCCACACCCACCCTCAAACCCCCAGCACACTCCTTCCTCTCCCTCTCTCTTCTCTCTCTCTCTCTCTCTTTCCTCCTCTCTCCTCTCCCTCTCTCCCTCCTTCCCCTTCTAGTTCTTATGTATCTCGCAAATACCATCCTCAACTTCCACATTTTCCCACCAGGGAATCTGACCCACTCAGTACTTCACACACACAACCACACACACACACACACACACACACACAACACACACACACACACACACACACACACACACACACACACACACACACACAACATACATACATACATACATACATACATACATACATACATATATACATACACATAATGAACCCAAACATCCGCAGCCACAAATACATCCCAGTGAACAATACAATAACACACACCATCACAGTAAGTCTGAGCACACAGTCTTCACTCACCTTCACCACACAAGGCAGCTGCCACCTAAAACATTCCACCAAGAATGTTTTTTAAGCAAAACATTATAAAGAACAATGGCTGCTTTCATAGTCGTGGATGTGCTTTTAAAACCAGTGGTGTGTTTGTTGTGTGTTTGATGCCCATCTCTGTTTACATACCTGTCTGCCTGAGCACATATTTACATAAACAGTGAGGTAGGAAGACATTGAGAATTCATTATGAGATTTAAAAGTATTGATGACGCCTGAAGGACACTTCGTCAGTATATCAAGTAGAACGTGGCAGGCCTAGTCCGTAGAGTTTATTAACATAATTGCAATAGCTACCTAATAACAATAAATAATAATCTTTTTTTTTTCCTGCTAGTACATGATACAACTTATACAGACCATAGCTGACATCAATGACAAACGATATAGAAAGCCCCTTGTTATGCAGAGCATTTCGGGCAACCTAGGTTAATTTTGTCCCAGGATACGACCCACACAAGTCGACTAACACCCAGGTACCTACTTGCTGCTAGGTAAACAGGGACAGCAGGTATCTTAAGGAAACACATCCAATGATTCCACCCGTACCAGGGATCAAACCACGGACCTCAGCGTGTGACCTGAGTGCGCTACCAACTGAGCTACGGGACACCTATGAACATAATTGTCTAAAGGTAGACCAGAATTAAATATGTGCTTATGAACATACATAGAATTGGTTTTCCAGTTACGAGATTACATTGGAAAGCATACGTCTGGCAGGGTAAAAGATGTCGCCGTCTCTTAAATAGTTGGAAACCACACGCTGAAGATGGTAAATAAAGTTAAGGAGACTATGTGCGGTAGCTGGGTGCTTTCAGGGACACCTGTCGGCAGGTGTTCAGCTGACAGGTGTTTTCCGCTATAATGCATTGTTGTGTAAGTCATCTGTTGTTGTTTTTGCTGTTGCTGCTGTTGTTGTTGCTGTTACTATTATTATTATTAATATTTTCAACCTCATCAGAACTAAAACGTGTGAATGCGGTTTACCAACAGTCACGAACAAAACTAAACCCAGATCCTAGCCAGACCGTCTAGGTCTCTCAGCCCGTGAACCCTGAATCCCAGGTCAGGTCTGATTGGACCCCGACAGCCAGACATGAGACCAAAACATACAGATTAATATCCAATATTTCCCCTTGAACCTAAAGTCAGTATCTGACCAGCCGGGCTGTGGCTCGTACGTCGGTTCACATGTGACCAACAGCCTGGTTAATCAGGCCCAGAATCCACTACGAGGCCTAGTCACGGACCGGACCGCAGAGGCGTTGACCCCCGCGGTCCGGAAGGGCGTATTTGCTTCCCGAACGTTGTTACCCTGGGTGGCCGGTAACACTGTAATATGGTGAAAATTTCACGAGCATTTGTATATAGCGAAGGTGATAAACTGTCTTTTCGTTCCGAAAGTGACCATTAGTTATTCGGGGCTTTGATATGAGTCCAGAAGGGACGCTTATGGTGTAGTTTTGTTTTTAATATGCATTTTACGTAGCATTTTGCGGTTACATGATCTAAACGGGCTTAACAATTGCTTTGTAAAATAATAATAATAATAATAATAATAATAATAATAATAATAATAATAATAATAATAATAATAATAATAATAATAATAATAATAGTATTCTACAAGTCTCTAAATACTGATGGAGATTTATCGCTCTAGTTACGACGGCTATGTAGGCGTACGAGCTGCTAGCAGCAACAGCTTGGTTCAGCAAGCAGTCAAGAAGGTCCTCAGGCCGGGCTGACAGGCAGATTAACACCTGCCACAGGTATGATCCCCACTCATTAACAGAGTGACCTCCCCACTCAGGTGCTGGGAGCGCCTCCTCTCCACCTGCAGTGAGTTCTGAATCATTGCGTGAAATTCCCCTCAGCATCGCTTGCATTCTGAGGATTCTGCCGCCATGTTCAACTGAGGCTATAACAGCGATTTTCTTACATGGTTAATGGGAGGTGGGTTTAAAACCTATCGACTACACGAGGGTCATTAAGGCTGCGTATCACCACTCAAGAATACTTTAATCCCTTAAAGAATGAATGAAGTAAACTTTATATATATATATATATATATATATATATATATATATATATATATATATATATATATATATATATATATATATATATATATATATATATATATATATATATATATATATATATATATATATTATATATATATATATATATATATATTATATATATATATAATTTATATATATATATATATATATATATTATATATATATATATATATATTATATATATATTAATATATATATATATATATATATATATAATATATATAATATTTTATATACGTTAGGTTAGGTGTTTTTTTTTAATTGGAACAATAAATTTGACCACAATTTGTTGGGTAAAATAAAACTTGACAAATAAATTAAGTTCAGCCGTAAAAAAAGACATGACTTTTTTTGATGGTCTGTTAATGTAGAAATATTGTCGATGGAGACTGACACCTCAGTCATCAATTATTTACAAGCAGATAAAAAAAATTGTTGCTCGCGGAATTTTGGAGTAAGACTTGTAGCTATGGAGGAAAAAAAAATAGTTGAAACATTCAGATTCGTTCTTACAACTTTGTGAAGAAACACGTGATGGGATTCATCAGTGTAGAATTACTTTAAGAAGTAATTATTACAGTGAATGTCTGCCAAAATGTCCTTATTGGTATATTTATAAATTTTACTCATCTCTCTCAGAATTATCGTTTTTGGTTGAAACATTCTTCCTCTCATATTCTTAGTTTGTGATGACGTATGAACTTGTGGTTGGCTAATGGCCGAGAGCTTCAGACGACGTTTGAGCTTCTGATTGGCTGACGACCGACGATAGGCCGCTGATTGGTGGAGGGAGGTGTGAGGCGGGTGGGCCGGAGAGTATATAAACATGAGACCCGGCTTCGAGGTGATCATCAGCACACCTCGAACGAGACCACAGCTGACAGGTGAGTGCTGTCTTGCTGTACTGACGATTGCTGCATATGTGACATTACTGTGAATACCTGTGCGGTTCTGTGCTTGTAATTATCAGTGCTGTGATATCAGAGACACGATATCAATTTTTGATTCTTATACAGTACAGAATTCTCGTTTCACCTCTGCTTGCGGTAGTGAACTAGTTATGAATGATGCAGTTTCCATGATACTACCGCTGCTGCATACTAGTATACTATCTACAGATGTGTGTCGAGGTCGATATACGGTTTTTTGACAACGGTTTTTGTGCTTATTGATGATGAGAGACTAAGAGATGTCAAAACCATCTCTGTAAAGTGGGACTCAGGTGACAGTACAGGCTCCTAATCCCTTCACCTGACCAGTTATCTTTCATCTCACACCTTTGACGACTGATTTTATACTTTATTTCATGGTCCAGTATCTTTCTCCTCTCTCACAGTCCAGCATGGTCCTGTATCTTTCCACTCCCTTATGTTCCAGCATGGTCCAGTATCTTTCCCTTCTTTCATTGTCCAGCATGATCCAGTATCTTCCCCTCTCTCACGATCCAAGATCTTTCCATCCTCATGATCCAGCATGGTCTAGTATCTTTCCATTACGTTCCAGCATGGCCCAGTATCTTTCACTTACGTTCCAGCATGGTCCAGTATCGTTTCTTTCACGGTCCAGCATGGTCCGGTATCTTTCCCCTCTGTTACGGTCCAGTATCTTATCCCTCTCGCACGGTCAAGCATTTTCCTTCTTACGTTCCTGCATTCCCCATCTCATTGTCTAGTATCCCCTTCTTTCATGGCCCAGCATCCCCGTCTTGCATGGTCCAGCAACCTCCCTCTCATGGTCCAGCATTTTCCTCCCACTGAAAATGATTCAGCATCCTCCTTCCATGGCTTACAATCTCTCTCTCATGAGTCAAAGTCTTCCTCGCGTGGCAAACTGCTCCCATCCTCCCATGGTCCACCCTTCCCTTCCCATGGCCCACCATACCACCTCTGCCTCAGCAATGTGATAACAGAGGCTAAAAAATCATGTTAGCTATTCCTGTCAAATTTATCGACAAGCGTCACTGGCATATGTCTGCGGCCATCGTTTGTTTAACTCTATATTCTCCCCAGCATTATATCCAACACTCACTATACCTCCAACACTCATCTCCAACACTCACTACACCTCCAACACTGCCTCTCAGCCAGCTAGCTGTAGAAAACAAACAGATCACGTGTCCGCAGGTCTAAGGTACATGGCGGCAGTGTCAGGCAGAATAACTCCAAATTGTCACGACCCTGGCTCGTGAGCCAAGCATTCTCGTCTCGCCATGATCTAGTGACGGCATGATGCTAGCTAGGCTAGAGCAGGTCTTCTCTGAGGTCACAGCGTGCTACTAGCTTGCTTAAACTGGCTTTTCGATGGTTCTCGTATAGTTCACTCAGTACTAGTTATGTTAGGGCTAAGTTCCAAAGATAGTTACATATATTTCTGAACTTTGCGCTCGGTATATATTTACATTCGTGACGCTGTTTTCCAAGCTTATCCCTTGATGCTTCCCGTTCCGTCTTACTGATGCTGTCACTCTTCTGAGAACTGGAATAATAATAATAATAATAATAATAATAATAATAATAATAATAATAATAATAATAATAATATGAACAATACTCTAAATCAAAGAACCGTTTCCGAGTCTTGAGTAACATGAACTAGAAGAGATACGCTTATATTCATGGGGAAGCTCTGAAGCCGTAGGGGACGGGAGACATGCAGAGCCCAGGGTAGAGGGTAGAGCCTCCTTTGATCAAGGACCCTTCACCAGCATCAAAGCTGTTCCATCCCCCCTTCACTTGAAGGGAAGGGGTGCTTGAGTCAAGACCCAGTCTGAGTTATCTTCCTACGATGATTTAATGCCCTTGGCAGCTCTACAGTCAACCGGCGTCACCACCGTCACAATCTTCCCGTCGGCTCCTGTACCTGTTGCAGGATTAGGGCAAAAAATTTCAATCAAAATTTGATAAAAGAGTTTTCGCCCAGGACCGAACACAAGATGGACTACAGTCCCACTTACCTGAAAGAAAACCTTCGATGCTGTTGTCCCGTAGCTCGGTTGGTAGAGCACTCATCTCACAAACTGAGGTCCGTGGTTTGATTCCTGGTACAGGTGGAAACATTTGGGTGTGTTTTCTTAAGACACCTGCTGTCCCTGTTCACCTAACAGCAAGTAGGTACCTGGGTGTTAGCCGAGTGGTGTGGGCCGCTTCCTGGGGACAAAATTAACCCAAGTTGCCCGAAATGCTCTGCATAACAAGAGGCTTTCCATGTAGTATGTCACTGATGTCAACTATGGTCTGTATAAGTTGTATCATGTACCTGCTTACATAAAGATCATTACTGTTTATTATTATTATTATTATTATTATTATTATTATTATTATTATTATTATTATTATTATTATTATTATTAATGAGCCCACAGTGGAATACTTGATGTTTTCATCGTCCGACTGAGATTCCCTAGTTCTGGCTAGGGATGGATGTGAGGGCGTGGATGGGCGTTAGGGCGGGGTGGGTGTGAGGGTAGGGGCGGGTGTGAGGGTGGGAATTGGTGTTAGGGTGTGGATGGGTGTTAGAGCGGGGGTGGGCGGAAGGGTAAGGTATCTATGTATGTCATATCATAGCTCTAGCTAATTCTGGTGGGTGCTACACAAACCCTCCTTCGCAGTGTAAACACTCTCCCCCACCTACCACACCTGTCTTGCCAACCACCCTAAGTGAAGGAAGTGAAGTGAGGTGAAGTGAGGTGAAGCGAAGTATGCATACTTCCCTGTCAGTCGTGACGTTTTCATGAAATTAATTAGAAAACGTTAATGTCCAGCTTTGCCTTTTGTGTGTGTGTGATTTTAAGAGTCCTGCTGTTTTCCTTATCCTCCTCCTACTTTTACTGGAGTACGCAGCACCAGCATGAAACCCCATACCTGAGAAAGCATGTTAAGAAACTGGAGAAAGTGCAGAAGTATGCAACGAGACAAGTTCCAGAGCTAAAGAACCTGAGCTACGAAGAAAAATCAGAGGAGACATGATAACAACATACAAAATACTCAAAAGATTGAGAGAGTAAACCAAGACGGGAAATAAGTACTCGGGGGGGGGGGAGGAGGGGACAAAACTGAATGTTAAAGACACAGATGAGTCACAGGGATGTCAGGAACTATTTTTGTCAGTTCCAGGGTGTTCGGGAAGTGGAATGATATCGGTGAAACGGTAGAGGCAGATTCCAATCATGGTTTTAGGAGTAGGTACGATAGGCCCACGAGGCTTGGAGAGGGTGAATCTGACAAGCAGCAGGTTGAGAGGTAGAACCAGGAGCTAAGGATCAACTCCTGCAACAACATATAAGTATGTACAAATACAGTAGTGTGCAAATTAATTGGGACTGGGGTAAATTTTGTGATTATCTCATATGTCTTAGTCTCCGGCTTAATTAATGTAGTTTGGGTTCTTTTCTTTTCATAAGCGTTTTCTAATGATTTCAGGCAACCATCCAGCTGTGGTATTACCCTGCGACACTCGTCAGTGCTACTACAGCTGTTGTTCTGTAAGGCTATTCCGGCAAGCGTGCACCAAGAGTGAATGTAGTTTCGCCAAATTTTTCCCTCACTTCAAAATTGCTATTGAAACTTATGATAGATGATACACCTAGCAATCATGCAAGTGTTGAGGATCTTAGAAAGTATGAGACAGATCGCCGAACATTTGAGCCTAGCAAAGCCAACTGTTGGTCGGATTATGAAGAGAGCTGACGACACTGGTGATTGTGGAGCTCTGCGACGAGAAAGATATGGAAGAAAATGCATGACAATACCTCACGATGACAAGGTTATCATAATAACTAGTACGAAGGATCCTAAGAAAAGCAGCTGGCGTAAATGATGATTCTTCAACTGTTCAACGAAGGCTCCTTGAAGTTGGCAGAACTGCCAGAAAGCTGGTAAGGAAACAATTACTGACTGCTTCTATGAAGAAAAAAAAAAAACGTCCGTGGTGGGCACTCTATCATAAGGAATGGACGACAAATGAATGGATAAAGTTATATTTTCAGATGTGGCGCATTTTGAAGTAGATGGGTAGAGATCAGTCGTAGTGAGACGGAGCCAAGCGAACCTCTTCTGAAAAGACACACTCAACAAGAGCTAAAACACATATCTAAGGAGATGTTTTGGGGTAGTTTTGCTGCTACAGGTCCTGGACAGCTTGTTATTGTTGAGGGAACAATGAACAGTGACAAATACAAGACAGTCCATTGTGGATAGAAACTTTACTGATAGATAAGGCATTTTCCAGTAGGATCTTACTCCATGCCAAATTTCCAGAAAAAATGCTGATACTCTTCGAAGAGAGTGGACTAAGCGTTCTAAATTGGCCTGGAAACTCTCCTGACTTCAACCAAATTGAGAATCTATGGGCAATAACCGAACGCAGGATCGCGAAACAAGATTGTTCAACTATGGAAAAGCTAATGGCTGTTGTTATTAAGACCAAGTTCCACAATGAAGAACTTGCCAAAATGTGTCGATTCTATGGCAAAGCGTGTAGCAATGATCTTGAAGGTAAAAGATAGTCATATCTCTAAAAGAATACACGCCAATGATGTGCCGTGTATATTTCAAATAAACATTAATTTTCTATATAAATGTCTTGTTTCATCAGTCCCAATTAATATGCACACTATTGTAGGTGAGTACACACACACACACACACACACACACACACACACACACACACACACACACACACACACACACACACACACACACACACACATACACACACACACACACACACACACACACACACACACACACACACACACACTTCTTCCTCGGTGTGTGCACAGTGCACACAACCGGAGGGGGAAGTGAAGAGGCTTCTGAGTGAGCTAGATACCTCAAGGCAATGGGGCCAGATAACATCTCCCCATGGGTTTGGGAGAGAGGGAGCA